TACAGTGGAATACTGTCCAGCCTTAAAAAGGAAATCCCAACAGATGCTACAACAGGGGTGAGCCTTGAGGACATTATACCAAGGGAAATAAGCCACTCACAAAAGGACAAATACTGAGTCCACTCACACGAGGTCCCTACAGCCAAGTTCACAGGGACAGAAATGGTGGGTGCAGAGAGCTGCGGGAGGCCGGGGGAGGAGTTCAATGTTTAACGCATTGAGTTTCAGTTTGGGAGATGACAAAGTTCAGGAGATGATGGTGGGGACAGTTTGCATACTGAACCGTACACTTGTTAAAAAGGGTTTAAAAGGTAAATTTAAAGTTGTGTATATTTTGCCATGATAAAAACTTGTTTTTGAAATGTTTTGGCTCTTGTCGCTTTCCTGCTGAAAACTCTCCAATGACTTCCCACTGGCCCATCCTAGGCCACCAGGCTCTGTAGTCTGGCCCCTGCCAGCTTCTCCCTTCCCCCAGGTGCCAGTCTCCCCTCCCCGACATGGAGATCTGCAGCACTGCAACCGCCTGCCTACTGGGGGCCGCCACGCCGGTGGGCTCCGCTTTGCCCCTCATTATCCCTGTATTCAGGCCATTATCTGTAATGACAGCCTGGCATAATTGTATTTTTACAATTTGTATAATTACATTCTACCAAGCTAAATGATCATTATTATCATTATTAAATATTTATTAAGCACTTCTAGCTGTGCAAAGCTAATAAGATATGGCCTCAGCTCTTAAAAATCTCCCTTCCTGATTCCATCCCAAATTCATTTCAACTTGGGTTATTCCTCCTTCTTGCAGAGGGAGCAGGAATGCCCGTGTTTTTTGGGCCGCATAGGCACGAGCTCATCTAAGCCTCTCAGCAGTGCTGAGGAGCAGGTACTAGTACCTGGTTTTACAGATGCAGAGACAAGTGAGTGTGTAGCCAGGGGAGATTTAGACTCAGGTCTTTCTGGTGGCAAAGCCTTTACCGCCCCTCATGCAACATGACTTGCTCAGTACGATGGGCTACCTTTCTTCTTTCCGTCTTTCTCACGCCTGACGTGCCCAGCACTGTGCTAGCCACTTATTAAAGGCCTCCCTTGGGGAAGGGGCCCTCTGGTGAGCACTCACATTCACACGTCCTCACACCTCTCCCCCTTCTGACAAGTTCATCCACAAACCCCTTCCTTCAACCTGTTTGTCTTTTAAGTCTCCAATCCGTTCTTTCCAAATCTCGGGACCATCAGTCAAACTGCTGGCCACTGCCCCCGAACGGGGGTAGATCCGGTGCCTCTGGCTCACTCTCCATCCAGGCAGGTGGCCTGTTGGGAGGACGTCCCTTCACCTCTCCCTTTCGGAAACTGTGACGCTGTGATGCTGCACCCTTTGCCCTCTGCCTGGCGCCCACACACGAACACAGGAGTCTGTTAACTGAGTCTTCCTTCTCCTTCTTTGCTATTCTGCCCAGAGAATCCATGAGGACAGTTATGGGCAGTGGGCAAGGACGGGGTGGAGGGGGACGAGGGGCCATGGGAGTCCGAGCCACCTACTCATGCTACCTTCTGGTGCCCCTGCTCAAAGCTGGTATCAGTGCATTCATCAGCCGCCCCTTGTCAGAGTCCACCCAGCTCAGGTCACACGCTCATCTGGGGTCTCGTGGCCTGGCATTTGGTCTCTACCAGTGTCCAGTGGCAAATCTGAAGCTATTCAAATGGACAATAGTTACTTGCAGAAGGTACATCTTTACTCCAGACCCCTTGAAGTCTGTGCTGTGACTTCAAGCCAAGACTCCTTACGAGAGCACCAGCTGCCCTAGGTGCCCCACCCTAGTTCTGTGGGGTTACCGGGTGAGCGGGTCAGAGCGCGCACTCAGATGCACGTCACGCAGTCTCTACAAGTCACAGCCACCAGTGCAGGACACTCCAGTTCTCTCCACCTGCCCAGCTAAAGCAAGCCGATCAAATCCTTCCCAGCTGTCAGAGCTCACACACTGAACCCAGGCTCTGGTGTCAGCTATATTGATAAATTCAGCCCAACCCAAGGATGTGCTCTGACACCATCAGAAACCACTCCCCAGATACTCTCCAAGTTTCTGCTGATAAAAGTGCATGAATACACCACAGCTCTTTCAGTGTATAAATTCCTAAATTGGGCTTTGGAGTTGTTTCCCTGGGGCATGCTGGGACCTGCCTCCAGTTACGGACTGGAATTAATGAAGGGCACAACGAGAAAACTCCATCCTCTCACCAGGTAAGCCCCTCAAATGAGCTCATTAATAGGATTTCGGCAGGCAGACACTGATCTCAGGCAGCCTCTTTCCACTGAGAAGCTCAGGTGGATGGAGGGGAGGGGCTGGGGGATTAAAAAATTCTCCATTTGCTTGTATCCACCCAACTATCCCCATCCGAATTCTCAGGACCCCACTCTTCCCAATCAGTAGCCTAACTTCACAGAAAAGACCTGGTGACCTGTGACTTCCACTTGTCTTGTAATCATGCATCCTGAAGGATCAAAGCGAGGTCTGACCTTTAGCCCTATCCGCCCGCTTAGTCATCCCTGGGCAGCAGGTGGGCTTCTAAGTTGGACCCGCCTCCTCGCTCCAAAACGTCTGGCTCTCCATTGTTTTCAGAACAAAAGCCCAACGTGCCTGCCTGCCCCAGCCTGTCCCACCGGCCGGCTAACCACATCTGTGCCACCTCACTGCTCCTTTCCCGTCTTCAGATCTGACCTTGAATGTCCCTTCTCAGAGGCTCCCGCCCTCACAGTTCTGTTTCTTCATAGCACTTGTCATAGGAGGGGTTGTTTTGTCACCCTTGTACTTGGAAGTGGGCTCCGTGACAGCAGGGCCATAGCTGTCCTGCTCCTGGCCGCACTTTAGTGCCTAGTGGTGTCTGACGTGTATTTGGTGCTATTATTTGGGCCAGGACCTGAGGCGGCACTGAAGATGGCACTGTCCTTGCGTCCTTGGCCTTCACTTCCTAGGGATGTAGCACACAGCAGGCGCTGAGGTTACCGGCTCACTGCGGCCTGAAGGCAGATGGGAAAGGCGTTTCTAACGCCACAAATGTCAGCACTCTGGAGCCACTGAGGGATCTGGCCTTAGCTTTTCCTCAGGGAGACCCAAGAGCGGTCCTTTTCAGGACCCACCAACTTGCAGAAAATGCTGCAGAGGCACACATTTTGTATTCTGGTATCGTTCCCCAAGTGATGCACACAGCTGAAATCTTAAAGGTCAAACAAGATATGCCTTGAATTTTCCAAACTCTTTTCACACGAACTTTTTGAAATCAAAGTTGATCTGGGGTGACAAGTCCTTGCAGCAGGAACACTGAGCCTTCACGTAGTAATGCAGGCTTTTGCAGAGAAAGAGCTTTTTCGTTCCCATCTCCTGCCCCACCACC